TGTTTAGCTCGTTTGCAATCCTTTTGTCTTCTTGTGTCCTTGTTCTGTAAGCTCTTCTTCTTTTCCTGTTTTTTTCTCGAATTAATTCTCTTAATTCTGGGCTGATATCTTTGAATCTTCCTTGTTTCGTAATAATTGGTTCTTCTTTTGAGCTGGCATCGATGGCATGGATTATGACTTGTTCTAATTTTTCCACACTATTTTCCAGCTCCATTATGTTATTAATAGTGGGTATCACACCGATGTTCTCGCTCACGATTCTTCTATAATTTGGCCAGCTGGTTATTTTCTTTTTTCGGGGCTCTAGTTGATTTATATCTATAGCTCCTAGGGTCAGTACGATTAAATTATGTGTTGAATCGCCTTGATTTAATGAATGTATTTCATATTGTTGACCCACGTTGTGTAGGATTGCAATGTCGAGGTGAGTTGGTTCAGCTACTCCGTTGTAGCAAGTTGGATTCACTGGTCCTACCACATAAGTGTTGTTTTTTGTTTCGAGATAGCCACAGAGCCGTCTTCCATTACCATTGGTTCTCCTGTCGTACCAATTGGGTGATCTTGCATTAAGGTCTCCAATGATGATTGTTGGTTCTTCTGAGTCCAGGATGAGATTCAGATCTTCATCAAGGATAGGCTCATTAGGTCTTACATATGCTGAGACGATTTTTAGTGTCTCGTTTCCAGCGATAAGACGAACTATCGTGGCTTCCATGGTGACTAAGCCGCCTGGAGTTGGTATATTTTGATGTTCTATTCCTTTTTTGACCATAATGGCTGTTCCTCCCGAGTTTGCTCGGTGATCTGTCCTGTAGATATCATAGCCTGGGAATTTGGTCTTCTTTCTTTCCACTAATTTGGTTTCTTGAAGTGCTATGATATCTAATTCTAGTCTATTTGCAAATTCGTCAAGAAGATTTAATTTTGTGAACAATCCAAGACCCAATGCGAAGATCCTCCGACTGGTGTGCTAACATTGCTTACCAAAGCTGCTCATTGCTATCATTACCTGTGTAAGTTGCTCCATCATTGCGGAGACATGCGCCATTTTTGCGCTAAAATCGGAGTTAAAACTCGCAATTAACGCTGCTGCTTCTGTTGCAGCTGTAGAATTTTCTTCCTTGGCTGTGTTTCTGGTAGCCTGTGCATAGCTTACACCGTTATCTACTGTGTTGCTGTTGATTGGTTTGCCTCTAGGTTGTGTTTTAGGGGCAGTTTTTCTCTTTGGAGCATCCACGATAGCTTGCTGTGTGTGCACCTTCGCAGTTTGCACATTTTGGGTTCCAGTTTTCTGTGTCCATATTGCATTCACTGCTTAAGTGTTCTTGTCCACACTTCACACATTTAGCTTCACAATGGCAAGCCTTGGAGCTATGATAGTAGCCTTGACAGTTGTAACACTGCATGGTTTCCTTTGTATTTTTTATCTCATCCTCTACATGAATTTTCATGTAGCAAAGATTCGTAACATTTTTAATTCTTTTGTCATCTTCCTCGTTGATGGTGACTAAAAAACATTGGAAGTGCACCCTTTCCTTCCTTCTTTGAAATCATATTTACTACCCTAGTAACTTCAATACCATGATTGCTTAACTCATTTTGTATTAATTTTGGGTCTGTGCTAGCGGCCAGCCCTCGGACTATTACCCGTTTTCGTCTGTCGCCATCTATTGGATATGCTACATACTCGACCTTGGGGGCGTGGCCCTCAAGGATTTTCAACATTCCTAGGTAATCCTCACGTTCCTTGGGTTGGATTACAATAGATCTTCCTGACCGTGCAAATTTGTTAACAGATGATATTTTTTTATCTGCGGCCTTCTGTAAGATTTTTTGATGTTCGCCTACGCTCTTGAGAATTATTGTCGGCGGCTTCGATGTAATTTTTAATGGTTTATTTTGATTAGTGTTAACATCTGTTTTATTGTTGTTTTCGATGTTTTCGGTAGCTTTGTTGGTATTAGATTTCGATTTATCGGATTTTTTTTCTTGAATATTTTTGATATTTTTTGTCATTTCTTTTTCTTTACGCTGTTGGATAATTTCAGTTTGCTTTTCGGCAACACTGATTTTCTTTACTTCTTTGGTTTTTAGTTTTTTGTTTGTATGGGTTTGCCACTCGGCAATTGCTACAGAGTTGTTTCGCCATTCGGCGTCGTTTGTATCCATGTCATCTTCATTACAAGATTCTTCATGGTTATTAGTTGTTTTCTGTTGTTTATTAATTATAGTTTCTTGTTTATTTTTTGTTTTGGTAGTTATTTTTTCTTTGCCGGAAGCGTGCTGTTGTTCTTTTCCGGTTTCTTTTGGTTCTTTTGGTGTTTTGGAGTCTTGTTTTTTGGGTTGGATCTCCGTCTTTTTCGGTTTTTCTTCTTTTGAAGTTTGGTATATCTCGTTTCTTTCTAGAATGTATATGATTTTGTCTGTTAGACGTTTATTTTCTGTATCTTTTTCTTTAATGATGTTTTGAAGGTCTTGAATTTGTGCCTTCATTTCTTCCTGGGTTTTCCGGAAGTAGCGGTGCTGCACGTCTATTATTTGATTTAATTTGGTTATAGCGACTAGCATGTCTGCTTTTTCCATATTAGATATGTCTGCTTCCTTATATTTTTTGCCTTCCTCAAGCGCAGGTTCTGAGTCGTCGTCGGAGTGTATCCTCTTCCTTCTGTGTTTTTCTTCGTCGTTGTCATACATTTCTTCGGAGATTTCGGGTAGTTCATAGCGTTGATTTTGGTTATGCGCGTGTCTAACGGAATCGCGAAGTACGGTTATTTCATTGTCTATTTCTGAATAAGTGTCTGATATTATAGATAAATTATCGACCTGGGGGGAGGGCGACCAGGGTTGGTCGTCATCTTCTTTTTCCAATTCTGACACGTGCGTGTCAAGACTATTCTTTGGGGAGGTTAGCGACATGTTACCTTACGGCGGTGAACAGAGTTCAAAAGATTGTAGGGTATCTTACTTAGTAGACTCTGTTTTTTTCCACCTCACTGGCCGCTGCCAGTTAGGTTTCTGGGTGTCGTCCCAGGGACCTTTCGCGGTAGTTCTCTCCCTGTGTCCACAGGGAGGGATCCTCTTGCAGTTCTCTAATCTCAGGAGAGGGGGCCGTTTCTGTCCGACTTAGCTGCAACTATCTAAGCCTTACAGTGTCATACCCTTCGCACACTAAGATCACCCGTAGTTTTCTGCAGAAAATACCGCTGCTATTGTATTCCGTGGCGCGCCAATAAATGTAACGTTCCAACGGTTTACAGATAACAACAATACATCCACTCTTCTCTTTGTTTCAGTTAAACAATAGCCTACACAAACTCGGTGCTTACATTCACCGGTGAACAGGTCTATTGTTCTCAATCCACAAAGCACAACCTCACTTGTCGACGTCCGACTGCCCAGAAAATATCTCTTTTACTCTTGAGTGATTGAATGCATTATTCAATACTATTATGGATGGTCGCTCCAATTTTTTTAATAAATCTTTTTCAAACCATTCGTCAAAAAGATTTGCATCCATATTTTCATGGTAATCCTTTCGAATCCTGTATTTTTTGTGGACAAAAAAATTACACTAGCGTCAGGAATAAAACCCTTATTATTTCCAGCAAGATGTATAATGTAGCGTTTACCATTACCGGAACGACTAAAAAAATAGCATTTCATGGTGCCATCTTGCCAGGATCATTTTGACCTTTAGCAAAAATCCAAGTTTCATCTAAGAATGCGACTTGCCTCGGACTATCATACGTTTTATTGTTCATATATTTTCTTAAAAAATACCTTCATTTTAAAACAATATTAGAGAGTTCACACAATAATTGTCTAATATTGGTCTTTTTATATCGAAAACCTAAATGTATTAGCACTCTTCACAAACTTGTTAAACTAATATTACACAGTTCCTTGTCTTTTATTTTCTATAACATAGCACTAATTGTTACATGTTCCTTAGCTTTATACATATTATATATTTAAGTTTAATTGACTGGTGCAAATCTAAAGTTTTTGAATTTGACGATTTCTCTTGCTTACTTTATTTATTTCATCCTCATTCATGTTATTAATTCTTCGAAATGTCCTCTCTGAGACACTGCAAGCATCGCCTGTGCGTTTCTAACCTGCCATAACAGATCACAATGGACCCATATTATTTTTTTCCAAATTGAAATAACTTTCGACTTTCAGAACTAAACACCGAACTAAACACCGTTCTAAACACTCTACGTTTCGACCGTATATTATTTTCTTCCAAATTACTTATTTTACTTTAAAGTTAGCTTGACTAAAGTACTATAAAAAATAGGTACTTATATAATAACTACTACACCCTAAAAAGGACGAGGATTGTACAACAGACGAAACAATTGAACACAAATTATTTAACAGCCAATGCTAAACAAGCATAAACACTACATTGATTGTGATTGCAAAAACCATTCGCATGTTTTAAATAAGTTTTTTGCTGATAATTTATTTAGCCAAATTATTAAATAACACCAATACAACCCAAGACCATCAGTTAACTTTTAACGATAAACAGAAGTGCAATATGATAAAAAGTTTGAATGTGATCTACTTTAAAACCGTTCGTAACAGGGAGATATGGTGCACACTTAATTGATACAAAATGCTATTTTCGTTCAAAAATATTTTAAATTAGTATATGCATCCAAAGTGAAAAAAAAATACTTATTTATAAAGGGTCCTGTAAAATCTATAAGGACACATTCAAATGGCGCTAAAGGCTTGAATTTGTGTTCGTTGCAGACAGTTTTTTTACAAAACTTTAATGCCTTTAGCGATACCTGGCCACCAACATTGGCTTCATGTAAGAGATTTTTTCTTTACCACCCCAAAATGAGCAGTATGTAGTTCCTGTAATATTCTGTTTCGAAGACTCTTTGAAATACAAAATACGCACCTTGGTGCATATAAATCTTACATAAATATAATAATTTGTTGGTTTTCAATTATAAATACAAAAATATTGTTAATTACAGTTGATCCAAATGATCAAGGTCAATATCCCCCAACTCAATGGATCCTGATAATGTGGGTTGTTGTAACTTAAGGAAAAAGAGCGTCACATCGAAGGTAAGAAGAATTTGATTGTGTGTATTAAGTATTTGTGATTTTACGAATCGCGTAATATATAATTTTTACTAGACAGTCGTCCTTAATGTCGGTGCAATTTTTATTATTAGGTCTCATTTCTATCAATTTATATTTATGAAAATACAGTTTAATACGGGGGTCGGCATAAGTCAGGCAACCGTCATAAGTCTGGCAACGCTGTCAAATAAGATTAAAACGAAGCATGTATGCAAACGACTTACATACTTCTATGTAATGCTTTATGCGAGTAAATGTTTATGAGCATCACTGCAACCATTACATTTCTTTTTTTAATCTTACACATTACATTTGTTTTGCTATAAACGTCTCGTGACAGATTGAGTACTGCATTTGCTTTTCGTCCACATAAGAATTTTCTGAGTCACCAGGTATAATTCATTTTAAAGGTTCTGGTGGAGTGGTAAGAAATGGTAACAATTTCCTAATGCGCAACAGATACTAAGTGCTTCATTGTGAAACTTTAATATCTGACAACACAGGCATGCTGTGTCCATTGTACCAATTCTTCTTCTTTATGTGCCGTCTTCTACCAAAGGTTGGCGACCATCAAACAATAGGTTTCTCTGTTTTGTGCTGCATGTATTATATTCGCCACTTCTGGTATTTGAAACCATTCCCTCAAGTTTTTCAGCCAGGATTTCTTCTTACTGCCCAAACCTCTGCTACCTTTAACCTTGCCTTTCACGATAAGCTGTAGCAGACTGTACTTATCATTACGGAACACATGGCCCAGGTATGACGCTTTCCTCCTTTTAACAATTGTTAACAATTCCACCTCTTTACCCATTCGTCTTAATACCTCTGTGTTGGTCACTCTGTCCAAGATATTCTCAGTATGCGTCGATACAGCCACATTTCTAGAGCCGCTAACTTCTTTATAGTTGCTGCTGTTAAAGTCCATCCTTCTACTCCGTAAAGTAGCGTAGAGAGTATGTAGCATTTCGTGGTGCGCCTTCGAAGGTTAACGCTTAGGTGGCGATTACTTAAGAGATTTCTCATTTTGATGAATTTGGATCTTGCTATTTCAATTCGGAAACTAATCTCTACGTCTGGGTCTCACTTATCATTTACTGTAGATCCCAGATATTTAAATCGGTGTACTCATTCAATACGATCGGCTCCAATATTCAGGTCGATATGTTGAATGTTCTTTTTACGGATCAGCATAAATTAAGTTTTCTTTTTATTGATCTTCAATCCAAATCGGTTGCCAGTTGTATTTACTATTTTCAGCATCATCTGTAAATCTTCGATGTTATCGGCCAGTATAACAGTATCATCTGCATATCGAAAATTACTTATTGGTACGCTATTAATCTTGATGCAAGTATGCAGAGAGACTGCATACTTGGGGCACATTATACGAGGAGAACGATACACTTTTCAGCAACTGATACTCGAAGGGAAGATAGAGGGTAGGAGAGGTCTCGGACGTAAAAAAATGTCATGGCTGCGCAATATTCGACAATGGACAGGAATCCACAGCTATGAAATGCTTCGCAATGCTGCTAAAAACAGAAATATTTAATCCTAGAATATTTAACATCTCACCTGACAAGACGATGTACGGTGGACGCCTACGCAGAAATGCACGGCACCTTAAGAAGAAGATTAATCTTGATGCCCTCGTTGTACTCTTCCAGTGCCTCTAGAAATATTTGTTCCGTTTACAGGTTGAAAAGCAGTGGCGAAAGAATACAGCCTAACCCCTCTCGAAATGGTTACGTTTTCACTCACCATATATCCATTCTTCCTGTGGGCTGTTTGATTCCAATATAGATTTTTTATAATCTGGATGTCCTTAGTGTCAGGTCCTGTAAGATGTAATAGTTCTATGAGTTTGTCATGTTTGATAGTATCGAATGCTTTCTCATAGTCGATAAAACAGGCGGAAACATATTTCTGTTGATTTAGGCATTTTTGAATCAAGACTTGTATTGCAAAGAGGGGCTCTCGAATTCCAAAACCGCATCTAAAACCGAACTGTGTTTTACTTAGGCTGTGTTCTAATTTTGCTCGTATTCTGGAATGGATAATACCCAAGAATACTTTAACGGTGTGACTCATTAAACTTATAAGGTGATATTCAATACACGTCTTAGAATTGGATTTCTTGGGAAGGGGCACAAATGTAGATTTCAACCAGTCGGATGGAATTTGATCAGTATCGTATATCTTATTCAACAGTTTCAATACAACAGTCAGGTTGTTCTCGTTAAAAACTTTTAAAAATTCGACTGGTATTTCATCGCATCCTGTTGCTTTCCCATCTTTCGTTTGATCTATAGCTTTTATCACCTCACTTTTTTTAAGTTTTGGTCCATTCAGATCAAGAGTGTTTGTAGAAATATGACGATAATTCGTAAACAAATCTTTTAAGTAATTTACCCAACTCTGTAACTGTTCTTCTTTATCTACAATAAGTCTTTTGTTCTCGTTTATTAACCTACCAAACTGTTTTTTCTTGTAAGTATAAGTAAACTACTTGATTTTTTTATGCATGTTAAAATTATCGTGTTTTCGTTCTAGCTCTTCTATCTCTTGACATTTTTCTTGTAACCATTTCTCTTTGGATTCTTTTATCTTTCTGCCGACAGTTCTATTCAGTTCTTTATATTTTTCGAGATTAGTCTTCCCTCCTTCTGTCAATAAGGTGTAACATTTCATCTGTCATATATTCGTTCTTCTTCTTTTGCTCATAGTCACCAATTACTTCTTTCGCACCGTTGCATATAGCGTTCCTTAAGTTGATCTAGTTTCTTTCAATAGCATCAGTATTGGTTGTTAAAGCAACATAAGTTGCAACAATAGTAAATTTAAAATGTGCAGAACTTAAAATGTCTGGGGCATCTTGAAATGTAAGACGAACAAATGATATAGGTGTAAATGCGCAGTTGATTCGTTGTCTTCCTCGTTCTTGTATTCTGGATGTAGCTATATATTGCTCACGTGAAGCACTCGTTCTTAATATATTATGTCGTACACATTGGTCACGATGTGCATGAGATTCTCGTGCACCGTTATCTTCCAACCTTATTCTTTCATCTTAATTTATTTGAGTAGTTTTTTCACCCAATCTATTAGTTTTTGCAATTTTTGTTTACGTCTTGTGGCTTGGCACAATGCATTTTTGAAGTTTAATTTTCTTCGGGACATTGAACTAAAAATGATAATTGATATGCTTTAAAGCAATTTAAAAAATAATTAAATAAAATCAAGATAAAAATTAGAAATTCGATAGTAAAGGGAATCAAAGCTTACTATTCACCCTACCATATGTTCCGCTCCAAAAACACACACTGGAAATCTAAAATCAGGGTCTCCAAAACTATTAGCAGACCAAACGAAAGTTTGGTCTAATCTAAAGTCTATTTCGAAGAACTGGAAGTGTTCGAAAGAAAAGTCCTAAGGAAGATATTTGGATATTTGCACCGATCTCAGAATTCGTAAAACTTTAGAGACTTCTATAGACTGGTCATGTAGTAAGAATTGAAAGTGGCAGCGGACGCGTAAAATTTGCTAGAGGTGAGAACCTGGAGAAGATAGGCGCGAAACCGGCAAGGATAGATGCATAGTTTTAAGTAAGTCAAGGCTCAATTTTGGGCTGTATTACTGTAGGAGAGAACAAATCGATATAAATATAAATATGGTCTAAGTAAACTCCACCTGTTTTTTATTTATTCTAATATTTTATAAAATTTTATGACAAAACACATAACCTAAAAATTACCACTGAAAATAAACTAAAATAACAGTGTGAATAATACACACAATTTTATATTATTTTTATCACAAAATTTGATGATTTTGCCGGTATGCACTTTTAAGTGCCTCTAAGCAACAAGTAATTATTAATTGTTATTTTAATTATTGTTCATTAATTTTACTACGAAATGTGTTGTGTCTTTAACTACATTGGTTTTAAATATAACTTTAAAATAGACAGGTGCTTCGGTTGTCAATGTCATTACTTGTGTTTTAAACCTCTAAATAATTGACTGAAGGTGGCTTTTTTCTAAGCTTCATTATTAGCATTTAAAGCTGTTTTTATACTTCATACTTGTTTATATCTGGTATAGATGGATTAAGTAAGTTATTGTAATCTTGCCAATACGATTACCCTACGTGAATTTTTGATTTTTGGACCAATTCTTTGTAACACTGAATAGTTCTAATTACCATCGATATTAATTACTATTTAACTGGGAATAAGCCACAATTAAAGATAAAAATACGTTTATTGACGTTTCAATTTCCACTTCAGAAATCGTTCTCAAAATGCAAACAGTAAATTAAACAAATTTTGTTTTTTTGTTACATAGTGAAAAATTCTTCTAATAATTTCATTTTATCTGACTCATTTATATTGACAAATCAGACATACATTATGCATTTTAAAGTAGACGACTTTAAAATGATATGAATTGTCAATATAAATGAGTCAGAGAAAATTAAATTATTAGAAGAATTTTTCACTATGTAACAAAAGAACAAAATTTGTTTAATTTACTGTTTGTATTTTGAGAACGATTTCCGAAGTGGAAATTGAAACGTCAATAAACGTATTTTTATTTTTAATTGTGGCTTATTCCCAGTTAAATAGTAATTATTTAAAATGCCACAAGAAAATAGCTTCAGAACAATACCATCGATATGGTTTTACTTCACATATGTCACACTTTACATTATTATCTCTTTTCACTCAATATGACAGGTTACATATTGGCTTTGGCTACTGGTAAGTTTTTATAACTGTTTAATCTATATAATCTGTTTCTTTTTTGTTATAGTTACATGATTCTTGTTGTAATATTGATAACATATTACTGTTTCATGCATTTTTTGTGTTGAAAACTTTCTACGCTGATATAAGAAGACTGTATCTCTCATATACACGCGACCATTTGTGGCAATTAGTTTCATTTTGTTTATTTTATTTTAGAAATAACGGATAAGAA